GGGACTCGATCCAGGGACTCCAGGATCATGACCTGAGCCGAAGGCAGTAGCTCAACCAACTGAGCCACCCAGGCGCCCCTTTGGGCTTCTTTCTAAGGAAGACCTACAGAGGAATACATACCTATCTAGAGATGTGCTTTCAGAAACTCTCTCAAAAGACTGAAGAAACTACACCATGTTGTCTCAAAGGATCTCCCCACAAGACACCAATTACAGACGGACAAAAAGTAACTTTGCAGTGGAGACATCTGGCCAACTCCGCCTTAATCAGGCGATGAAAGTTCACCCCCCCAGGAGCCGGCTGAGCTGATGTGCCAAGCTCGCATGGCGGGACGCACCCAGAAGGACGTAATTTATACGTCACCACCCTGATCACTTCTGCAGCTTTCCTGCCCAACATGCATAACCCAAATCTAATCACGAGAAAGTGTCAGACAAACCCAAATCGACAAGAGGCATGCCACAGAAGAGCTCACTGGGACTCACAAAAATGTCACGGAAAACGTCAAGGTCATGAAAGATAAAGTAGAGACAATCTTCTAGTTGTAAAGGGCACTGAAGAGGCATAGAGTGGGGTATTTCTTTTCTTTTTTTTTTGTTTTTGTTTTTGTTTTGCTGTAAAAGGCATTATTGGAACAATTGGTAAAATTTTAAGAAGGTCTTAGCTTAGATATTAGGACGGTGTCAACGTTCGTTTTTACAACGTTGATAATCCTACTGTGGTCACATTAGAGACTGTCCTTGTTTTTAGGAAGACGCGTGGAAGAATTTAGGGGTGAGGGGGCATAAAGTTTACAACTTATTCTCAAACAGTTCAGAATATTTATATGTGCGTCTGTGGAGAGGAGAGAGGTGGAGGTAGGATCAAGGCATCAAATGCAGAAAAATGTAAACATTTGGAGAATCTGATTATTGGGGAATTATTTGGACAATTTTCCTGTAAGTCTAGAATTATTGCAAAGTAAAAAGTTAAAAAAGGAAGACCTTTTTTTTTTTTTCCCAGAAGCCCCAGCAAAAATCTTTTCTGCTCTCAGTGGTCAGAATATTCAGGTCATTGGCTCATTGGACTGTGGACAGGGACCCAATACATTCAGGCTCTCGATACCTCCCTTTGGAAGGAAAGAGGAAGGATAAGCTTCGACCTCAGTCTCCTGCCATCCCCTCCGGGACAGGAATGGGTGAACATCCCCCATAGCATTGAAACATATACAAGAACTGTGGCTATTTAGCTAAAACCCAGCAGAGTCCTCACCAATATGACCAAATAAATGTCGGACGGGAAACTTGCAGTGTCCACCTAGCGAAGGGGCCTTCGTGTCCACGTTTCCGAACTATGAAGAGGGATGTGGGCTCAAGACAGACAATGGGCTCAGTCACAGAAATGCGAAGAAAGTGGCATTTCTTGCACACCTTAGTTTTTTTGTTTTTTTCGCATGAGATTGGGCTCCCTTCATTTATTTTTCCAGAACGGGTTAAGTGAGGAAACGAGGACTGGTGATTCTCTTTCCTCTGACTCTCCCTCAGTCTCCAGGTAACCACCTCTGGGCTTCCAGCTTTGTCCTTCCTTCCGTCCCCTACGAGCACCACCCCTCCACCTTCATGCTCTTTCCTAGCAAACCATTTACACCTTCCTGTCACTTGTCCCCCCTTCTCCTTCAGAGGAGAAATGACGGATGCCCGGAAATGAAGATGGGAGCAAACCAGGATCTTCGTGGTCTCACTCGACCCCTGTCCAGGGCCTTCGTTTTATGATTGAGATGAGACCGCTCCCTTCCGCGGGGGTGGGGGAGAGAGGAGGCGATGGAAAGAAGGTACTGATGAGCCACAGGCCCTGCCTGGCAGAGAGGGGGACGCCATGTCCGGTGGGGACGCCGTGTCTGACGGGGGCACCATGTCCGGCGAGGACCAGGACTTTCAGAAAGCAAAGGGCAGGTGGACTAGTCCCTCCTTGATTCCGGGGTTCCTTCCTCTGGAAAACTGCTTATCTCTGGGGCCAAGAGGGAGAGAAACAAAGACACAGATAAATTAAAAACCAGAAACAGGGTGGGAGATCACACACAGAGCTTTTGTTCATCCCACAAATACTGACTGAGTTCCAGGCACTGTTCTGGGCCCTCTGGCAGGGTTTCTCAGCCTCGGTGCCACCGACCTCTGGGGCTGGATCGTTCTCTGCTCTGGGCCGTCCTGTGCATTGCAGGATGTGGGGCAGCGTCCCTGGCCTCCTCCCCCTGGAGGCCAGACGCACCCCCAAGTCACGATGCATGGCCAAATGTCCCCCGAGGAACAAAACCACCCTGACGGAGCGCCCCTGGGCTCCAGGCACCATGAGGAGCAAGATGCGTTGCCGCCCCTCGCTGAGCCTGTTTCCCAGGGAGGGCGAGATGCTCAACAAACAAGGAAAGACCCAAACAGGTGCATCGTGCAGGACAGAAGCAAGGGACACAGCAAGAGAGCCCTGAAGGCGAGCAGAGACTAAAGAGAATCCAGCGCCGCCGCAGGGACAGAAAGGGGGCGTGGATAGAAATGGGGTTCGCAGCCCGGACACACGCAGACCCAGGCTGGGGGGATACTTGAATAAACGGCCTGAGACACAAGTCACAAAGAAGAGGCACAGAAAAGGGGGATGAAGGGCAGCCTATACATCTCAGAGCGGAGCACCTGCAAGGGGAAACTGAGGTGAAGCAGAGAAACATTTCCCTGCAGGGAGCGTCCTCGCTCTGACCTCACAGGCCAGTTCATGAAAGCCCTTCCGTGCGCAAAGCCTCACTCCCACCTCCATCCTTGGCGCTTTCTCCCGTCTTCCCCCTAATTGCTGACCCCCTCTCTCTCCCCTGCTCTTCCCGCCTGCTCCTCGGGAGGCATAAAAGCTGCAGTCGAGGAGCTGGGCCCCTAGAGAGCTGGGGAGAGCTGCCGACTCCGGTGAGGTGAGGTGGGGAGGGCATGCAAGGGTGTGGGGGGGCCCCGGAGAAACGGGACATGCTGATGGGGAAGGCAGGGGCAGGCACGGGCTGAAGGATCGCCAGGGGTGAACACCTCTGTGGTTCTTGAACCTTGGTCACTCGTGCGCCTGGGGTTTTGGGGGACCATGTTTTACCTGTCCGGTGTCCTATCGCTTACCTTCGGGGCTGTCCCTCAAGCAACGCTCTCGCTTTACTTAAATAAACGTGCTCCAGAATGGAACGCCACAAAATCGGCTGTAAACTCAGAAGTGTCCATTTTATTTTTCTGTCATGTATTTAAGGCAGGAAGACACAGAAGTTCATCTCTGTTGAGTGGTACGGTATTGTGCATTTACAGTTTGTTAGAAGTCGGACAGAGGGAGACGAACACCGCATGATCTCACTTCTGGGTCGAATCTGGAAACAACCACTCGCGGAACGAGATCAGATGGGGGGTTAGGCAGAGGCGGGGTTGGCCCGAGCGCTCAGGTGTAAGGTGCTCAGGTGTAAGACGCGGACGTGCTGGGGACCAGACGGATGGCACGGTCCCCGTAGTTGACACCGCCGTGTGGCATCTTTGCAAGCTGCCCAGAGAGAGTAGATCCCAAAAGTCCTCAACGTGAAGAGAAAACAATTTTTGTCGTGACTAGACGAGGTGACAGATGTTAACTAAACTTACCGAGGAGACCCTTTTCCCAATATACACGTTAAGTTGTCATGCCGCACGCCTCGAACTTACATGGTGTCGGATGTCCATTAAAGCTCAAGAAAACTGGAAGAAAACATATGTCAGGAGGACAGAGCTCATGGTAACAAAACAAACAAAAACCTAAATCAAACAAGCAAAAAATCGCAAGGAAATGTTTGACGGTGATGGATATGCATACCACCCTGATGATGGTGGTGGAATCAGGTGTATGCATGTGTCCAGATTCATCCAGAGGTGTATGTTCAGTGCATGCCATTTTTTTGTATAGCAGTTATACCTTAATGACACTAAAAATATATAAATACACTCATCACCCTCTCTCGGCAGCGTCCTGTAGCTCTAAGCGTCCACCCCTCTGGCCCTCAGATGGCTCCCTCTGTCCATCTGGTCCTGCTTCTTGCCGTCTTGCTCAGCCTGGGGGAGACTCCTGCCTCTGTACCTGTCCACCAGGTGAGACCTCCCTCCCCACCTGCAACGTCCCCAGTCACTGCCCTCCTAGAAGAGCTTTCTGATTCTCCTGGCTGAGCCAGGAGCCATGGGCTGTGGGGTGCCTTGGCCCCGGGTGGGGGTGGGAGCCGGTGTGGGTTAGGACACCTGACCCAGGGGTCAGGAAGCAAAAATGTCCTAAGGATTAGCATTGCCCAGAGGTACAAAAAGATGCCTTCAGGGAGCTCCTGGTCATTCTAAGTTGTTAGGTCACCAAGGACTGGGCCCTGCCCCTAGGGTTTCTGCCAACCCCTGGCTGATGCTGCTGGCCTCCGGGCCACATTCGGGGAGCCCCTGAGTGGGTGCATGGACTGTGGAGACCCGGGTGAATTCGGAATGCTGGTGCTGTCACTTTTTAGCTGCATGACTCCTGGCAAGTTGCCTAATTAATCTCTCTGTCCCTCCGAGTTCTTCGTAAAATCACAGCACCACGAGGGTTACCTGAGTTCCTCCATGCCAGGTGCATTACCTGATCCAGAGGACCCAGGCTTGGCACTCCGCCACCCTGGGTTTGGGTCCAGCTGCCTGCCTTGCTGCCAGGGTCCTCTGCAGGCCATTTAAGTCTCTCGGAGCTTGCCGGGACCGGAGCCGGAGCTGGGCTGTCCCCCGGGGCCGGGACCGGAGCCGGAGCCAGAGCCAGGCTGGGGGCGGGTAGCCTGCACTGAACCCCAGGGTCGCCCGCCCAGAAGGCACCCACACGGGGTTTCGTGGTCTCCTGTTGCCGTCTCGACACCTTTCATTGTGTTTGAGCAAGGGGCCCCATATTTTCATTTTGCCCTGCGCCCCCTTAAGTTATGTAGCCGGTCCTGCTTAGAACAGACACTGGCATGTAGAAAATCCACAGTGAGTATTAGCCGCTGTAATTGTCAAAGGAACACGCAGCTTGCCTGAAGCCATCCGGTGATGTCGCCTGGGTTTGAACCCGTGTGTGTGTGTGTGTGTGAGAGAGAGAGAGAGAGAGATTTGTGACGATATGCTGAGGCTTGTAGATGTGGTTTTTAAAGTCTCTCTTCATTCCGAGCTGCTACGTTTTAGGAAGCCTTCACTTTCCTCACTGGTGAAATGTGGATTAAGTGAACCCCCTGCCAGGCTCCTGGGAAGGTGGCAGCTGGCCCCCGTGGCCCCAGGCCTGGGGGACGCCTGCCGGCCTTTCTGCCTGTCTGAGTCTAGATCTCTCGGTCTCTGTCCAGGGGCGAGGAGGCTGGACCCTCAACAGCGTGGGCTATCTCCTGGGTCCCGGTGAGTGAGCCCGCTCTGAGCGCCATCCCTGCCCAGTGCCTACCGGCGGTGGGTGTGTGAGCCTGTAAAGACCCTCAGCTCACGTTCCCTGCAGTCCATGGGTTTTCTCTCCAGACCCGTGTTGACAGTTAGTCTAGACGAGCGACAGGCACGTGGGTCCTGGAACCACAGTGCTGAGTTCAAATCCCAGCTCCGCCACTTGCTTGGTGTGCACGGCTTAGTTCCCTCCAACCTGACAATGGGTACGATGAGACCCCTGCTGCACGCGGGCGGTTAGAACAATTCCTGGTGCCTCGGGGTGGCAGGTGACACTTGGCGGTTACTCTCCCCCCTTATGCCCCTCCATCCCGGGCTCCCCGTGTCCCCGAGTGCGTCTTCACTGTGCACTCCTTGTGTATGTGGTGATGCGGGGGGACAAAGCCGTACATCCCTGTGATGCTCAAAGCAAGGACCACTCGGTGGTCCAAGAAGATCCAGGCTCCCGGGACCGTGGGGCAGAGCAGCAAGGACTTGAGGTCTGGGTCCAGACGTAGGTGGGTTCAGCTCCCAGTGCTGCCCCTTAGCCGTGGGGAAATGTTGGACGACTGACTGGACTCCTCAGAGCCACAGCTGCCTCACTTGGCCGTGCGGATGCTCGAAAGACTCGCTGTCCCACGGACTTAGTGGTGGTGCTCCATGCAGGGAACAGCGTTACAGGATTGCTGGATTCCCTGTGTGACTTACCACGTCACAGACCACGGGCCCTGTTCTCCCCCACCCCCTCCCCAGTGCTCCACCTTCCCCGGAGCGCGGACCACGGAGGGAAGGAGAAGACAGCCCTGGAGGTCCTAGACCTGTGGAAGGCCGTTGGTGAGTGCGTGTGGGGTTCATCTGATCACCCTCCTCCGCCTGCCCACTGCTGGCCTTGGAAACCGGCCGACGTGGGCTCCATCCCTCGCTCCGCCACTTGCCGGTCGGGGGAGCTTGGGGAAGGACAGTTCCCGGCCACGTAACGCGTCTGAGATGCCCCCTCCTTGCCATCCACATCTCAAGGGAAAGAATCGGGGTGTGCGGGGGTTCAGACACCGACACTGGGGTAGGCACACCGTGAATGCAGCCTGTGACCTGAACCGAATCTCCCCATTGTTGTCACCTACCAGGCAATTGCGCGTATCTGGGGCCAGTTTCTCACCCTGGGCGCTGGTGCCCATGACTCCGCTGTGGGCCGTCCACGTGCAGGATGTTTAGCGGCATCCCTGGCCTCCACCCACTAGGTGGCCATAACACCTCCGAGTTGTGACAAGGACAGGTGTCCCCACACATTACCAGATATCTCTGGGGAGGGGGAGGGAAGGGCAAAATGACCCAGGATGAGAACCCCTAGGTACCACGAATGCCAAGGAAATAAGGGAGCTATGGCCACGTTGCAAGCTACAAAGCTCCGAACCGAATGGCGCGGAGGCGGGATGACTTTCGGCTTTGTTCCCAGATGGGCTCCCCTATCCCCGCCCTCAGCGGGCCTCCAAGAGGAGCCTGAGGGAGACCTTTGCCAAAGCAGAGACTGCAGGTAAGCGCGGGAAACATGGAGGAAACAGGAGCCGGGGACAGGAGCGATGAGGGCCAACTCTGAACGCCCACGCTGACCGGGATGGCTCATTTCTGCTCTACCCCTTCACCTCACACCCCGCTTCCGGGCCCAACACGCATTTCCCAGCCAATCCCAGATGTTTGCCAACCTGGCACTGCAGTGATGACCCCACTCCCAAACCTTGATCTCCCTAATATCAGCCCCCCAGGCTTTAGCTACAACACTGACCTCAAACCCTCACTTCCAAGTCTGACCTCTGTCTTTATTCCAGCCTTTAAACTCACTCTGGACCTTGTACTCATCTCTACTCATGCTCAAGCGAGTTCTACTCCCGTTCTGAATTCTGGTTTTCTTAGAACACCAGGTCCCTTTTACTCAAGGATCTTTGCACCAGCTGATGCCTCAGTCTAGAATGTTCTGTTTCCAGAGCTTTGCATGGCGAGAGCCTTCACATCATCCAGAAATCATTTTAGCCACCTCCTCCACCTTAGAGTCTCCCCTGACCATTTATCTGACATAAACCTACTTTTCCTCTATTCTTGTCATCCCGTCTAATTTTCGTAGTGATGTTTGTCAGCATGTACATCTTCTTTGTATCCTGTACTTACCTGCTTGTTTTCTGTCTTCTCCCAATAAAGTCTAAGCTCCATGTGTATAGGGACCTTCCATGACTTGCTCACTGCCTATGCACAATGGTGCCTGGAAAATATGTGTTAAACGCATGAATTAAACTATCCAAGTGCAGGCTTCCCACCCAACTGTGACCTAAGTAAGTCAGCTTTGCCCACCTTCCTCCAGCTGGATCTTTACCCCAATTCCATCTCCTTCAACCCTAACCCTGTTTTTGGAAATGAACACCATGCTTTCATTCTAGCTCTACTAACCCATCTGGAAAGCACTGATTGGACATCTACCGGTGTTGGACGTGACACACCTCCTGAGTTCATCAAGCCCCACACCAACCTTGGCTACCCTCTGTCTCTTGAAAACACCCACCCCCACCATGTGCCATCTTACATGGGGTGGAAAAGGGAAATATGTGGGTAGATGCAAAGAAAGGAAGGTAGAGCAAGAAGGAAAGAGGGAAAGAGGACAGGGAAGGCAATTGGACATGGGATGAACCAAGCCGTCTTCCTCCTTGGTCTCCTTCCCAGCCTGGACTGGTTTGGGTGGTGGTGGTGAGCTTAACCATTCAAAATTCACCTCTTTCTCTCCCACAGATCTGGGCAAGCTCAGCGAGAAAGCCCCCAAGGAGGGAGATGCCCTGCGGTCCTAGATGTCTCCAGACCTCTGCTCTGCATCCATCTCCCCAGCTCCTCCTGAACCCCTGTCTAGCTCCCTCCACTGAGACTGAGATCCTGAAGTCAAGTCCCTAAATGTCATGCAGAAAATTTAGAGCATTGGGATAATTTTCTTAAAAGTCCCCAGGCTGCCTCAGGTTTCACTGACTTATCCTTGGAGTAAGTATAAAGTGTTGTTAACAAACTCAAGAATTAATTCTGGAGCCATTTAGGAATGCGGGGTGATGAGGGAGTATTTCTGCAGTCCGTGTGAAGTAATTGTATTCTTTGGAATCATCCCAGCCCTAACACGAGCTATTGACTAACATGATATGAATATCCCATTTGCCTCTGAGAGTCTATGATGTCTTGACTCAAGAAGATTCTGCCAAGTAGCAGGCATGCCTTCCCTCCTTCCCCCACCCCGGCATCCTCCAGCTGGAAACGGGGAGAGGTACTCCAGAGCAGAGTGGAGAGAATAAAACATTTCTTTGCCAATCATGCATGATTTCTGTGTTAGTGTGGGAATTCGTGGCGGTGGCAAAGTCAAGGCTGAGAGGGTCAGGTGTGGGGTAATATATCCTGTTGGAGGCAGTGGATCTCGGATGATCTCATGAGCAAGCCTAATTACAATTCCATAGCTGGATACCTGACCTACTCTCTGTTCATGAGTTCGTTCGTTTTAAAACTTCTACATATTTTGAGGCTATGTTTTGTCATCATATATGTTTGTAAGTTTTGTAGATCTCTGGAGAAATCTTTTTATCATTACATGATGCCTCCCTTAATCCCTGTTAATGCCTTTTGCTTTTGGACCGATCTGGGGGGGTCGCATGTCTGGTGCCTCGATGACTGTGGGTAGGAGGCTAGGTTCATCTGGGACAGTTGACCCAGTGTCTGCATGGTAGTCAGGGCTCTGGCCTTATTCTCTGGGACATTCCTCGAGGCCAAGCTGCTGTAACAAAGAGCCCCCAACACGCGGTAGCACAAACAAGATGCACATTTACTCTGCACTCACAGAACGGTCCAGAAGGAGGCAGTGTGGGGCTGGCAGGATGGCTCTGCCATCTTTGGCCATGAAGCTTCATCTCAGGGTCAGAGAGGGTTGCCTTACCACTTCTGTGAGGTAGGAGGCCAGAGGGGACACACCCGATTCTTCCAAAGAAAAGTCTTTGAAAGGCACATGTGGTGTTTGTTCACACACCTATGCATGACTAGTCTTAGCCACAGGGAGGCTGGGAACCATCGTCCTGAGCTGGGGGCACCTGCCCACTTAAGAACACAAAATAATGGAAGAGATGGATGGAGGTGGATGGATATTCAGTCGCACGATCTGAGTTGTCATCGTCCTTTGGATTTGCCTCTCTCTCAGCAACACCACGTGGCGGGGATCACTCGCGCAGGATTCTGACCTTCCCGGGTCTCCAGCCGTATGCAATCTAATATCAGAAATCTCGTTTTAAGCCCTTAGCAACTTTAAATAGCAGAATGGGAGGACAGAGGCAGCATCAAGCCCCAAGGACAAAAAAAGACCCAGGCCCTGCCTTGGAGGATCTCACGAAGGGAGAAACCAGAAAAACGAGTCGACAAATGCAGGGTAGGGACAAGGCTTTGAGATCAGGGGCACACAGGGACCAGGGCAAGAAGCCTCTGACCAGCTTTGGGAGGGCAGAGACCACCTGGGATGCTATAATCCTGGAAGGTGGTAAGAAGCAGTCACGTTCTGGATGTATTTCAAGCCAGGGCTGATAGGACTCCCCAACGGACTTGCTGTGGGATTTGAGAAAGCAGTCAAGGATGAATCCCTATTTTTTGGTCTAAGCAAATGGAGGGATGGAGATGCCCTTGAAGGTTATGGGAAGCATGCACAGGACAGGTTTTGGAGGAAGAGCAGGAGCTCGATCTGGGACACGGTAAGCTTGAGATGCCTACTGGATATGCAGCTGGGGGTGGGGGAATGGGAGTTGGATGTGCAAATCTGGAGCTCGGAGGAGGGGTGCAGAATGGGTATATAATTGGGAGCATTGTCAGTACTTAGATGGTACTCAAGAAGAGAAGGGGTCTAAGGGCAGAGCTCTAGGGGATTCGATAGATTGCTGGTCCCGATGATGTTCAGAGATGAGGGAGAGAACAGGACGTGGAGTGTGGTTAAAGATGGCGGAGGCACTGTGGTTACTGGGGGTGACTAACTCACGGGTATGGCTTCATGGAGTGTGTGGCAGAGGGTCGAGAGAATGTCATGGGGCCGAGGGCACTGGGCGTGGAGATATCCAAGAATTATGATAACAGTAATGTCCAGAGGCAGGAGCCCAGCCCTCCAGGGAGTGAGGGTGAATACCCGAAGGACACTCAGAGGAGGCTGAGGGTGAGGGAATTCTCCTTGGAGAAGACATTTCAGGAGTTGGGAGGCAACGGGGTTATTGCAATAGGGGATATCCAGAGTCAGGTTATGTCTGGGGCCTGGGGGCTGAGGCGTGGCTTGGCGGGGGGGTGGGGCAACTAGCTTTCTTTTGGAAATGGACAAAAACATAGGTAAAGGATATATTGAGATGAGCCCTTGTGGCTCCGGGCAGATGATAAGTCTGAGAGCACAGAGGTGAGGGAGGAAGGGTTGGGGTCTTGTCCAGGTGCTGGAATTTTACCCATACTGATGGGGGCTTGGAGCCCCCCAGAGGACTGGTCCTAATGGGGCTCTTATCGCAATATACTCATACTACAAAAATCCCCCTTGTTCATCTTCAGTCCAAATGTACTTGTATATCCCAAATGTTGCATGGGACATACTTAACGCCAAAAACTGTTCATGGCTTATCCGAAATTCACATTCAACTGGGCATCCTGAATTTTCACTTGCCGACAGTCATAAGCCAGGATAGCTTCCTTCTCAGAGTGCCATCGGTACCCGACTGTCCAGGATGCAGGTCACTATCCCAGGGTGGCTGTGGGGTCAGAGTCCCATCCCTAGACATTACTCCTCACTCCTTCTCGCGGGCTTGGGAAGGAAAGGGCTGACCCTGCTCTGCCCAATCTCTCAGCACAGCTCAGCTGTCTCCCTCCCAGGCTGGAGGGCTAGGGCCACCCAGGGCCATTCTCTGGACTGGTCTTTGTATGCAGAGTGAGGGGGAAGCTGGACCAGAGCCCTAGAGCTGCCCCCACATCTCCCCTGCAGTGGGGTTGGGGAGGGGAGTGGGTCTTTGGAAAGGGAGAGGGATTTCCTGCCAGGTGCAAATTGCCCTCCATGTGTCCTGCTGACGAATGACTGAGTCCTAATGAACAGAGACAGTTGCCTGGGCCCAGAGATCAGGTGAGGGACACAAGTGAGTAAGGGGAGGGCCCTGGTCCCTCCTTAATCAAGTTTCCCAAACTGGTGTCTTAAAAATATTTAATTAAGGGGCACCTGGCTGGCTCAGTCGGTGAAGCATGTGACTCTTGACCTCGGGGTTGTGAGTTTGAGCCTCACAGTGGACATAGAGATTACTTAAAAATAAAGTCTTAAAAAATTAATTAAAAAAAACTTTAATTGTGGCAAATACATGTAACATGAAATTTACCATCTTTTTTTTTAAGACTTATTTTATTTATTTTAGAGAGAGAGCGCCAGCAGAAGGAGGGTCCGAGGGAGGAGCAGGTTCCTGCTGAGTGCGGAGCCCGATGTGAGGCTCAATCCCAGGACCCTGAGATCAGGACCTGAGACGAAACCAAGAGTCCGATGCTTAACGGACTGAGACACCCAGCCGCCCCTGAAATTCACCATCTAAACCACGTTTAGGTGTCCAGTTCAGTGGCATAAAGGACCTTCACACTGTGCAACTGTCACCACCATCCACAGAGCCCTTTGCGTCTTGCAAAACCGAAAGTCTGCCCGCGTTGAAGGACCACTCCCCAGGAACCCGGCCCAGCTCCTTGGCACCGCAGTCCTGCTTAATGTCTTCGATCACAGCATCTGTCTTTTTGTGTCTGGATTGTCTCACTTATCATAGTGTCCTCAAGCTTCATCCCTGTTGTGGGGTGTGGTAGGATTCTCTTCCTTTTAAGGCTGAATAATATTCCCTATCTCCTGGGTGCTTAAAAAAAAAAAAAATCCTGTCGAAGCCCCACCCTAAAAGGAGAAAATCAGACCAAATGATCGGAGGGTGGGGCAAAGCCATGGGTGGTCTTGTTGGCTTTCTGTGTTCCTGGTGAACGCTGGCTGAGAACCTCAGGTGTACCGAGTGCTTCCTTCCACTGAGGCCCCGATCTGAGGTTTTACTTGGTAGGATTACACCAAAGGCGCGTGAACTGTGAATTAACCTGTCACTGAGGGTATTGGAGCTGGAACAGGTCAGTGTCTGGCTTACTGGATTTTGCCAGGTTTATCAGCTAGAGTCAGTACCCCTCTTCTGGGGTTTCTCAACCTCGGCACTCTGGACATTTCGGTTGGGATCATTCTTTATGTGGGGCCATCCTGTGCATGATAGGATGTTGAGCAGCATCCTGGTCTCTGCGTCAAGATGGCAGGAGCACCCTCTCCCCAGTTGTGACAACCAAACACGTCTCTAGACATTGTTGAATGTTCACGTGGGGCGAAATTATCCTATCCTAAAGGATACTAACTCATGGGGCCAAATAAGGACACAGCTAATTAAAAAAAAATCAACAAAGAGGGGCGCCTGGGTGGCTCAGTCGTTAAGCATCTGCCTTCAGCTCAGGTCATGATCTCAGGGTCCTGGGATCGAGCCCCGCATCGGGTTCCCTGCTCAGCGGGGAGCCTGCTTCTCCCTCTGCCCCTCCCCCGACTTGTGTTCCCTCTCTCGCTATCTCTCTGTCAAGTAAATAAATAAAAATCTTTATAAAAAAATCAACAAAGAATATAAAAGCTGGGTTACAGCTACTTTCAGAAATGGGAGTATTGCAACTGTTGTCCAAGAAATATAAATAAACATAAGAAACATAAATCAGCAACACGAAGTAAGAATTTAAAAAATTTTTAAATGCAATGAATATTAATTAAGAAAAATATGCAATAGCTGAAGGAACACCGCGGGTGGGAAATATGGCAGAACAGACACAACAAGAGAAATTAGAGAAGAGGAACAAAACACTGGAGACTCTTCCAGAAGTGAGAAAGCATGAAGAATCCAGGCCCTACTCGAGGGGAACATGAGAAGGGAGAGGAGGAAATATTTGTAAGAAATCATAAAGATAAATTTCATACGTTTAAAGATGAAAGAGCTCTCAGACCCATAGTGTTCTTTAGGCTGAACAGGAAAAATCTACACGTGGTCACAAACGAATGAATTTCAAAAATGCCTAAAAGAAAGAAAAATCCAAATCATTTCCACAGGAAGGCTTATATGGCTTTCCGGTGGCAATACTGGGTGCAGATGACAGTGCAGCAAATGCTTTTCGGGGGTTGAAGGAAAACAATGTAAATCTGTAATTTTCTATCCAGGCAAATATTCATCTCAATGGGGGGTGTGAAAGAAAAGTACCTCCGTACCAGTTATAAATAAGATTAGAAGATCTTAAGAAATAGTCCAGAACCTTGGATGTGTCACCTCTGTGTGTGTGTATGTATGTATCTACCTATATATCTATCTGTCATCTATCCAATCTATTTATCAGTATTTATATATGGAGCATCTACTGGGCAAACGCTGTTCTAGGTCCCAAGCATCAGCCTCAATGCTGACTCAGTAAATGGAACAGGGCACCAGATCTTATGAAGCTTGCAGTGAATACTGGGGAATACCAGCAATAAGGAAATATAAGCAAATAAATGCACAATGTGTATGATGGTGGTAAATAATAAGAATAAGAATAAACCAGGCTCTGGATGCCTGGGTGGCTCAGTCGGTTGGGAGTCTGACTCTCTGATCTCAGCTCAGGTCTTGATCTCAGGGTTGTGAGGTTAGGCCCCTGCACTGGGCTCCGTGCTGGGCGTGGAGCCTACGTGAAAATAAAATAAAATAAAATAAACCAGGTTCATGAAGGTTCTCTACTAGGGCAAGTCCAGGGGACAATTGGGCACCGTGTGTGGACATTTCTGGGTGTCACAGCCGAGGGGTGCTCCTGGCATCCCGTGGGCAGAGCGCATTCCAGTCCACGGAGCAAGACCCCGTGGACAAAGTCCCAGAGCAGAAGCACGCCAGGCTTGCTCAGGCAGCTGAGGAGGGGGCTGAGGAGGGGGCTGAGAAAGGGGGAGCGTGCAGGTGAGATGTTGAAGGCCTCTGGGTGCAGAGAAAGGACAAGGCTTCTCCTCCAAGTGCTCTGCAAACCATGGGTGGGTTCTGAAGGAGGGCAGTGAAATGTATGGCTGGGTTCTCGTCACAGAATCTGGGGCCATGGGGAACGCGGCCCTCAGGGGCAGGAGGGCAGAGGGGACCATTCTGGAAGCGGCAGCAAAGGTCCAGGTCCCAGAGAGATTAGAAGAGGCAGCAGTGAGGGGATGAGTGGTCAGATTCTGAATCCGATTTGGTGGCGGTCCCCCATGTACTGGACTCAGGATGAAAGGGCAGAGTTTATGTGGCCAGAAAGCCACCATTCTGCTCCCAAGGAGTCTGAGGTTTGCAGGGTTTAGAGACTCTCTTGGGCCCCCAGAATCATCCAAAGCCAGGAGCCTTCCAATTCATCTGAAATGTTAACACAAAAAAGTTCACTATCTGAATGGACTTGTTATGATTTGATGGACACGGAGAGCTTCCAAAATTGTAACCCAGTCACGCCCAATCCCTGATTAAAATTCATGCGGTAACATGCAGACCCACCATTATAGCTTTTCAGAATTTATGAGATCTAATTCAGGGGGACAATAAGGTCCACAGAGAAGCCTCATGTATCTCAAAACCACCTTCCCCACCCAGGGAGAAAAGGAATACAGAGCCGTGTCTACGTGCTTTCGTCTGCTTTCCATTGTTTTTGTAAAAGGGTAAGTTGACATATCAAATCAGTGATTTAAACTAGTTTGAGCAAAGCTTTAAGGTATTAATCCCAAGATACTGAAAAATAGTAAAAGTAAGTTTTAAAAAATCACGAATATTTTTTATGTATCAATAATTACTTTTCATTTTTCAATACCTTGTTAGAGCTTTGCTTGAGCTAGATTATTTTTTTCGAAGGTTTTATTTTTTATTTGTAAGTAATCTCTATACCCAGTACAGGGCTCGAACTCACAACCCTGAGATCAGGAGTCGCATGACCCACGGACTGAACCACCCAGGCAACCCCTGAACTAGATTAAATCACTGGTTTGATACCAGCCTCCCATCTCTTCACACGTTCTTGACTTGATGAGTTAGCGCTGCCTTTGGCATTTAGGAAAAGCTCAGCCTGCAAAATGGGTATGATGTTGTACTTTTCTCTACTCACATGCAACCTCTAGTTTTCTAAATACCTACCTCTCACGCTTTGCCTTGTCAGCTCATTTTAAATAAAATCTTGACCCAAAGTGCTTAAAACTTGCAGCTCTACGTTCCCTGATTCCTTTGAATGCTTCAGGCATATGATAAATAATTCAGTAGACCAGGAAAACCAATATTGTTTCCAAGTAAACTTATTTAATAAATTCCTTTTTTTTTTTTTCTCTCTTGATGGAGTTTCAGTGGGAATTGCAATCCACGCGGCAATCTTCAGTGGTTCATTCCATGGCCTTAAACTAATCTTTGGGCTGATGAGGTAACAGGAAGTCTGGGGTTTCTCTAGCTGTATATAAACAGAGCTGTATATTTCAGCTCAAGGCTGTTGGAGAGCGAGTCTCCGATGCGAGGAGGCTGGAGGCAGGAAGACCTGAAGACGCGAACGAGGTAAGTTACGGGTGGGGACGTCTGAGGGTGCTTGGGACCTGGGATGGACGGACGGAGGTTGGTACCAGGAGGATTTGGGTCTGTATTCACTATGCATTAGCTCCAAGGTCTTGCGAAAGCAAAGGATCTTCCTGTACCCCATTATTAACTTTGAATCATTATGGTATGATTTGATTCGTGGTATGTGCGGTTTATACTTTGAACCAGGGTTTCTCAACCTCAGATGATATTTTTGGCCAGATGATTTTTTTGTTGTTTTGTGTGGGGAGGGGAGTTGGGGGTCTGTCCTGTGCACTGTAGGCTATTTAGGGGTATCCCCCCATCTGCATCCCCCATGCCCAGGTTATGACATCCAAAAATGTCTCCAGATGTTGCCCAGGGTCCCGAGGTGCCAAGGGGAGCAGGGCAAATCACCCTTGGTTGAGAATTACAGCTCTAAATGTTGGCCACTCCATTTTTTACCATTGGGTAAAGATGTGCTGGGCATGTGCTCGGCATCCTCTTATTTTATCCTCAGACAATGTAAGAGGTAGGTTTTATCGTCCCCAAGTTATGGAGAAGGATTATGGTCTCCCAAGAGCTGACTGACTTACCTAACAGCTAAATGAAGCTAAAACATGGGATTAAAACAACACTGGGCTGAATGTGTTTAGTCAACAAAAGTTGACTATTAGGGATTTTAGGCAAATGTATTAGCTTTGAATTCCGTGTGGCACGTGGTTCTCCTGAGATTTCTAAACTTGCCATACTGTTGCTTAAGAACACATCTCCGGGTTTTTGTTCTCCACAGGGTAAAAACCAAACCTTTAAATAAGGACCTTTTATCAACCTACTAGCCCAGCCAGGATTAAAGCCCCTTTCTCTACCTGGGTGCCACGTGGCTCTCAGGGGCCTGCTGAGTACCCCCAGTCTTCATCCCTTCCTCAGGTTGACCCCTGACCTCTCACTAGAAGGAAAGTGTGGGTTGCATTCTTTCTGTAGCTGTTGTTCTTTTTTTTTTTTTTTTTTAGATTTTTATTTGGGAGAGAGCACATGTGCCAAGCAGGGGGGAGGGGCAAAGGGAGAGGGGATAGGTAGGCTCCCGCTGAGCAGGGCTTAATCCCAGGACCCTGGAATCATTACCTAAGCTGAAGGCAGACGCCCAACCGACTGAGCCACCCAGACGCCCCATGTAGCTGTTGTTCTTGGAATAAAATGGATATCTGCAGATTATCAAGGTGGTTCTTGCCTTTGGAAGCTAGGTTGAGAACCTCCTAAAAGCTCTTCTCTCTCAAAATCTTGCTTTTTGAAAATTTCAAAGAGCATTGGATTTTAAATCCGTTTTCTGGGATGAGATTAAGTATTTAACCCATAGAGACCGAGAGCAGATTAACGGATTGCCTGGGGGTGGGGGTGGGGAAGGGGGCAGCGCCTGCTCCAGGGGGACAGGGTTTCCTTTGGGGGGATGAATAAATTCTGGAACTAGACAGCGGTGAATGGTTGCATATCACTGCAAATGTGAGTAGTGCCGCAAAGTTGTGCATTTTAAAAGAGTTAAAAATGTGCTACGTGCATCTTACCACAGTAACGAAGTATCTGTTAATCCTGTTAGGACTCTTTTGAGTCCTCCCTTTCCTGGAACAAAGCAATATCCTGGGATCAACAAGGAAATGTGTTGGGGGACAATCTTAGATTAATATTTCCAGTGTTACTACACCACATGAAATTCTCAGGTTGTAAATATTTTTCTGTATTCTGCAAAGAATGATATTGTCCCAACATACAGATGAGAAAACTGAGCCCACCTCTGTACATTTAAAGCTCAGAATCTAGGGAGCCATTCAGACCTTTGAAACCACCTTTTATACTATAAAGGTGGACATTGGAAAAATAATAGTGGGGGTTACTTTCCATGGTATCTAATACAGGACCAGTTGGGGACGGTGTCTAGTGTTGGGGTGAAGGGGGTGGGTAAGAAGTTAAACTAATGTGGTTCATTCTTTTTTCCCCCCAGACTTCTGAACAAACAGCAGGTCCGTTGCTGAGGAAAACCAGAGTAAATCCCTTTAGGTAGGTCTTAATTAGGCACCAGCTTCTAGAGAGTTTGCAGAGTCATACCGGAAAATTCGCCAGTCAATATGGCTACAGACCAGACATTTTCAGGGGGTCAGGAGAAACCCCAAGGCAGCCCCAGGTCAGAGCTGCAGCAGTCTGTACCATCGCCAGGAGCCCTCACTGGGAGGCAAGACGGCAACTGTGAGACTTGGCACCTGAGCTTCAGGGCGTTTACGAGCTCCGAGAAGTCGGACCCCCTCGATGACCTGGGGAGGCTCTGTGAGCTCTGCTACCTGTGGCTAAGGCCGGACCTTCACACCAAGGAGCAGATCCTGGACACGCTGGTGATGGAGCAGTTCATGATCTCCATGCCTCAGGAGCTTCAGGTCTTAGTCAAGGAAAGTGGTGTGCAGAGCTGCAAAGACTTGCGGGACCTGCTGAGAAGCAACCGGACCCCCAAGAAATGGGTGAGCAGGGCCCTCCTGACGGGAACAGGGAAGGGGGAGCTGGTGTGGGGGCTGCACGGTGCCCTTGGACTAGAAAGGACATGGGGGCTTTCTTCTGGGTCAGTGTGGGAGACAGTGCGCCCCTCAGGAGACACTCGGCAATGTCGAGAGACATTTCTGGCTGTCACGACAGGGAGGAGATGGGAGGTTACTAGCCTTTGGTGGGTTTCAGGAGTCTATGCACTTTGCCATCATTCACCCTACGCGACCTCTCGTGGAAGACAGTTGTATAAGGGACATTCCAGAGGCTCCGGGAGAAAGGAGCCTGTAACCAGTCCAGTCCATTACATTTACAATTCTTGACATCTCCAGAGACCCTCTTAAAAGTGGTCCTACCTGAGTAAAGTGGCTACAATGTACAGAGAGGGGCGCTACGTTGTCATGGTAACTAGAGTCCTAGGATGATGCTGAGGAAAGGAGGAGGGTGGGATAGTAGGCTTTCAACTCGATGGGGGTCTCAGATCCACTAGTGATACTGGGATGGATCATCCTCGGGGGCTTCCCTGGGCATCGTAGTGTCTAGCGGCATCCTTGATGTCGATGGGAACCTCCCCCGGTTGAGAAAGTCAAAAACAAAACGAAATCTCTGGAGCTTGCCCAATGTCCCTCCGAGAGCGGTCAAAATGGCTCGCAGGTAAGACTCCCCAGACCAGGTAAGACCTTACGTTGGAACATTTTCCATCGTGGTGGCTGGAGGGCGCCTGTATGCTTTGTAGAAAAAGCAAGGGTCTGAAGGATCTAGGAGGGGATGGGACCTGGTTTATAGCACCAGTCATGGGGAGACGGGCTCCTCTGTAGGTAATTTTGTAAGTGGGCAGGAGGGAACTGGGTCCAACATGGCAATCCTCCCTTCCCTGATCACTCCGGTAGGCGATGAAATTCTCCAGGGGTGAGCCGAGAATGGGAATTAGGAGCTCCGACAACATTGTGGGAAAATAGCCATGGCAACTCTAAGATGTTAATCTGGGATGATAGATAAAGGAATTCTTAAGACCAGCTGAATGAGATGGAAGCCAAGCGTGTGAAATCTCACTTGGGCACGGTGTTGGAGTTCTCACCGCAACACACCTCATGTGCTCGAGGTCGGGAGTGGACAAGGCATGCTTTAGGATGATGGTTTGAGGGCTGAGTATTAGCTGAGGTGGTGGGGGGCAAATGGGGTGGTGTTGAAGTTGATTAGATATTGTGGCTAGGCCAGTGGTTGTCCAACACAAGGGGATGGGGTAAGTCCACCTTCACCCCCTAGGGTGCATTTGACACTGTTTGGAGACAGTTTTGGTTGTCACACCTTGGGAGGTTGCCATTTTAAACAAGTAATTCCAACAATGTGTGAGTGTATGGTAGCTTCATACAGTCAGAGCTACGTTCCGGTTCTCAGTGAGCCTGGTCTTGGTTGATTCTTGCCCCCCCCAGACCATAGTCACCTTACAAGGACAGGAATTTCTTGTGCAAAGTTCAGATGTTCAGATGGCTGAAGCTGAGGGCAGTGACATGGACCTCGTGACGGACTTGTCCAAGAAGCCCCAATCCTCTGTGAGCGAGACACGTCCAGAGGACAGCCAGAAGGTCAGCAGAGAGCTGCAGAATCTGCCAGGAGTCAATGAACCGTCAACAGGGCAGGTGAGTGTGACACCCTCCCCGATCTCTAGGGAGTGGTGGCAGAAGGGACGGGAAGAAGCGGTGGGGGTAGCTGGGGAATAATTGGGATAGTGGCAGAGCACAGAACTGGACCCACTGACCCTAGGAATGCCCATGATTGCATCAAGCCCATAGACATCTCTGAGCCTCTGGAGAATGAAGACTCCTCAGCCTTTGCCCGTCTGCCATTGAAGCTCTTTTAGGGTTAAGGGTAGGAAGAAAGAAATAGTCTCAATGAAATGGTGCTAGGTTAGTTTGCCACGGGGTAAGGAACCGAAGGCTGATTTTTCCATAGCCGATTTCCTCAGGCATCCCATGAAATGACAATCGGACAAAGGACACGTTTTGGAAATGACTATAGTCAATACCTTACGTTAAGGGAGTGGTTCTCACCTGGAGTTGTTTTGCCTCTGGAAGACATTTGCAAATGTCCGGAGACCTTTTTCCGTTGTCAGAATGGAGGTGGGGTTGGAGGATGGGATTGACATTAGTGGGTAGAAACCAGGGATCCTGCTATAATCGATCGTCCCACAATGCACAGGACAGCCTCACAACAGGGAATCATCCAACCAAAATATCAGTAGTGCTGAGTAGGGACACCTGGACCTAGAGCCACCTTGCTTCCCGAGTAAGGCAGGGGAAGCCGGATGACCTGAGGTGGAGTGCTCAGAGAATTAAGCGTAAAGGCTGCGATGTGTGGACATGATTTAAAGGCGTGGTGGGTACTGGTTATCGACAGGGAGTGATGAGTGGCCCAGAGGAAGCCTGGACACATCCACACACTGTATTATTGAGAAAGTTGGTGTCTCAGATTAGGGAGGTGGGCAGGATGGGGAAAGAGGAGACAAGAGCTTCCCACACCCGAAGTTAGACATGTTGGTAACTACACTTGGTTGCCCATTGTCAGGGACAGAACGTTCTCCTGCCAGAGACCATTCCTGGGAAAGGTGTATGGAAGGGTCTGAGACCCAAGGAGAACTTGAAGAAGAATCTGATGGAAGATCTGGAGGAGACAACAATACAGACATCCCAAGAGCCTCAGCTTCTGCAGGGTCCTGGTGAGCATGGAAACTGGAAATTCAGAGGAGTTAGTAACTTCTTCCTATGCTGGGGGGGGAGCTCTGAAATGTCTTCTCTATCACTGACTGTCCACAGTGTCCTACGTACAACCCCATTCCAGGTTTGTTGGTTGATGGGAAGTTCTCAGCCCACAGCAGTGTTCGGTTCAAACGAGGTTGGTATCATTGAAAATGCTCTTTATTAAGTGTTGTGCGTTAACCGTCGTTCAACAGATTCTACGAGGGCAGACGGTGGGAAGAATCTCCAAGAAGGAACCGGTATTATGAATGTGGATGCCGACACACCTCCCACCCACGTTTCAGAGAGACAAATTTCCACTCGGAGTGGTAACAGAAGAGATTCTCAGAAGAGTCCAAGAAATCCCAAAGGAAGAAAACTGGACAACATCTCCATTTCCAAAGAAGTGCCCCAAGAGGGGACCCCACATTTGGCCAAAGGAGAATTCTCAGCTCAACCTGTGTCCCATTCGGTCCATCCTGTTGGGAAAAAAACCACGGGACAGACACCAGCCCTATGCAGCATATGTAAGAAAGGATTTCGTTATAAGTCCCAGTTTCACATTCACTGGAGGACACACACGGGAGAGAGGCCTTTCAAATGCGATACCTGTTCTGGGGGTTTCATGCAGCCTTCAGACCTCCGAGTCCACCAGCGGATCCACACAGGCGAGAAGCCATACTCCTGTGACCTCTGCCACAAGACATTCACCCACGACTCCACCCTGCGGAGTCACTGGAGGGTCCACACAAAGGAGAAGCCTTACCCGTGTGAAGACTGCGGGAAAACTTTTAGCCACAAAGGGAACCTCAACGTCCACCGACGCACCCACTCGGGATTAAAACCCTACACATGTCACGAGTGTAACTGCGCCTTTCGTCAGCTGGGAACTTTTAAACGCCACCAAAAAACACATGCAAAGTGACTTCCTGACGAGTCCATGATCAGGTCCGAGTCCCATCAGCCCCAAGAAGGAAGTTAATGGTGACCTGTCACCGATTTTTGTAAAAATGACATGGGACGTCTTGAGCACTTACAAGGTTTCTGGAACACAACAGATGTTCCGTAAACGTTAATTATGAGGATCTTGGAATGATGAGATCTTCCCTGTTGGTTTTCATTTTCTGTTTAATTATGTCCCGTTGTTTCCTTGTAAGCTTTTTGGTTTATGTTGCTACTGTTGCAATAAAGGCAAGTCTTGTTTTCATCATTTCCTTATAAAATTGTGGCTGCGGATTGTTATCCTGTTGTCCTTTATTTCCTTGTAAAATAGGATGATCCAAGTAAGGCGGCCAGATTAAATAGGAGATACCCCGTGATATTTGAATTTCAGATGAACACGTTGTAAGTATAAACACATTCTGAATCATTTATCAAATAATCACTGAGCAACTTTTTTTTTTTTAAGATTTTTTTTTTTTTTTAAATTTATCAGAGAGAGAAAGCACAAGCAGGGGGAGCAGCATGCAGAGGGAAAAGCAGGCTTCCCGCTGAGCAGAGAGCCCGATGGGTGACTCGATCCCAGGACCCTGGGATCATGACCTGAGCCGAAGGCAGACGCTTAACCAACTGAACCACCCAGGCGCCCCCAACTTTTTTTAAAGACATTTTTTAGAACAGGTTTAGTTTCACAACAAAACTGAGCACAAAGTACAGAGATTTCCCAGAGACCCCCCGTCCCCACTCAAACACATCCTCCCTTACCATCAGTATCCGCCCCCCAGAGTGGTACGTTTGCTACAAATTATGAGCCTACGCTGATGTTGTTGTCCCCCAAAGCCCAGAGTTCAGGGGTCACTCAGTGTTGTACCTTGCCTGGGTTTAGACAGACGCATGACGTGCACCCACCGTTATGGTCTCATGCAGAGTAGTTTCTCTGCCCTAAAAATCCTTTGTGCTCTGCCTGTTCAAATCTCTTTGTCACCTGCACCCTGAGTATTTTGCTAAGTTTGGTAACGTGTAATTTTTCTCAAGTCCATACGATTGCCCTATGTCCCACACCATTTCCTCTATTGACCTTGTGCATTAGGATGGCACATCTGATGTGGTACTTTCAGATAAAGGCCCATACTTGACTGATTTCCTTGCTTTTCCTGTAATATCAGGTCCCAGCCTCCCATCAGGATCCCACGCTGCATTTCCTGATGCTTCCTTAGACTCCCCTTGGTAGTGAGTCTCTCAGATCTTCCTTGTTTTTGATGTCCTGAGAATCTACACTTTTAAGAAATTCCCAGTGAGGGGCGCCTGGGTGGCTCAGTCGTTAAGTGTCTGCCTTCGGTTCGGGTCATGATCTCAGGGTCCTGGGATCGAGCCCCGCATCGGGCTCCCTGCTCGGCGGGAAGCCTGCTTCTCCCTCTC